ACCAAATTTTATACCAGTTTTGGAAATTGGGAACTCATCTACCATATTATTATTTAAAGAACATATAGTTTATTAGCACATAATATAAGTACAAGTTTTTTAATTTAAATAAATAATACAAACATGTAAGTGATTGTTTAAAATAATTTTGTTTAATAGGAATTTGAGTTTAGAAGATGAAACAAATTTAAAAAATAATATTAAAATTCTAAAATTAATAGTATTTACTAACAACTAACACGTACAACAATGAAGTAAGCAAATATATTTTCACATTTCTATGATAACAAAAAAAGCAATCAAACTTAACAAAAAATTAAAATGTAAATACTTAAACTAGTATTAAATACTGAACAACAGAAACAAAGTAAAATACTCCTAAATCTTTAATATGCATCATGAAATCAATTATAATCTTCTCCAATAAGCTCATAACATTCTTCTCTATCTTCTACATGTAGATTGACGAGCAAACTTCGGTTTGAACCGAACAAACTGATCGAACCGTCTGATTTTTAACAGTTTGGTTTGGTTTTGAAATCACTTAGGTTCAGATCGGGTTCGAAACTCTTGAAATCATGTCCATTGAACTGAATGAATATCCTAAATCACCTAATTACATACCCTAATTACATACCCTCTCTCACACACTAAGGTGAGTCTACCATTACCTATTTTTACCATAAATATTAGAGAAAGTGAGGGATCCACCTATCTTTTCCCTTTTCCCAAAGCCCAAATGAAATCTTCTCTCTTACGAATCACAAGGCAACAACTATGATAAAAAATTAAAAGCTCAGTTATATGTTATCTTCTTTGGCCTTCAATATTCTCTTTTGTATTTTCAGCCATAGCGAAAGCCTATACTTTCTCGGTTGCAGCTGCATCCTCCATTGCTTGGTGACAAAGCTAGTAACAACCGAGAAATCGACCGAACTGAACCGAAATAACTCGGTTCGGTTCGGTTGGGTGCGTTAGAAAATTAGAAAAACTGACCATTTGCTCTCCCCTGTCTTTTAGGATGACATTAACATCTCAGTTATCTCTTGTCGATATACTCCTTTCTAATCTTAAAGTATTAAAAAAGCAATTGCTTTTCCTTTTTCATGGAAGATGTTGCATGAAGAATGAACATTTGAAAGGTAAAGATATTTTTTTGAGTAAATTAATGATATTTAAATGTTAATTGTTGATAGTAGTTATATAAATGTTGAATAAACATGTTATTTTCATGTAATGATGACCTCATTATCTGAAATTTCCGAAGTTATTTTGGCAAGCATTCAGTGTCAGTGAAAAATAACTGGATAAGACTATAATTTTGGGTGTTGATTTGGAGTATTCTGTGAGGTTAGTATTGTAAAAAATTTTGTCAGTTTCAAATTGCAATCTATTTTGTTCCAATGTAGGAGAAAACTTATTTTGAAACCTGTTTCAACACCAAATAGAGCCAAAGTGTTATAAAACACAGGTATAACATCCATGTATTTAACGCAGAACATAACATTAAAAAACACAAAATTTCGCATTACGTTAAGTGTTATTTAACATTGTTAAATTGAGTCAAATTGATGATCAGATTTGAACGTTTGGTGATATATTCACTATCCAAATCAGTATCACGCTAACCAAAATAAGTTCCCAATTGAACCCAACACCAATGTCATTCATTTGAAAAACACCAGCGATCTCCTGACCCCATCTTTAGCACCTCTCTCATCTTCTCCCCCTCCACCTCTCACTCCTTTGACGAAGAAACTTCTCGATCTCTTCTTCTTTGTGTGCCTTTGATGAAGATGAAGTGTCTCCAACAATAAGGCTCTTCTCGTCCTCTTATCTTCACTGACAATAAGGCTCCTTTCTGGTCCCTTCTCGGCTCTCATATCACCTCTCACCAACGAAGAAAATCCTAACCATTACTCCACTTTCTAAATCCTAATTCCTTTCGACGAAGGTGTAACTTTCTAAATCCTTACTTCTGTACCTCTTTGAGTTCTCCTTCATGTTTGAAAATTTTGATGATGTTAATTATTAAAATCATTATGAATAGTTTGTATGTATGAGATATCTAAATAATTAATAAACAGAATAACCTATGTTATGCATTACGTAATGCGTTATTGTTATTTTTAACATTAATAACTCTGACAATTTGGTTTTGATGCAGTGGTCTCTGACTTCTTATGAGAGGAAGGGTGAGAGCTATGGTTATGCTTATAATAAGTATCACCATATGGAGCCTCTTCATGTCGAAGAAAAATTGACCGAGAAGACGTTGCATCAAAGATCGCCTTACCATGATGCTTATGAGGAGCAAGCATATACTAAGCCGGAATGGGTGATTACTTTCTATTTATACTGATCCATGCATCTCTTTTCTGTTTTGTAAATCACATTATAAAAAAAATCCAAAAACAATTGTAAAATTCAAAAATTGTGAACTTCACAATCACAATTAAGTCAACTTTGCCAGATAGTACTTGACTATTCACAACAATAAAGGAAGCAGCAAGAGTATAATAAACAATCCAAAAGAAATTACCTAACTATTTCAAATCTTAAAAAAAAGGTTCTGAAGCTCCTAATGGAACTTGTACAAAATAATACTCATAACATTCTCCAATAAACTCACTTCATTCTTCTCAGTCTTCTGCATCGGATCATCCTTTTCTAGGATGATATTAACATCTCTGTATCAATTATACTCCTAATAGAAGTCATACAAAATAATACTCATCCTAACATTTCTCCAATAAACTCATTTCATTTTTCTCAGTCTTCTGCATTGGATCATCCTCTTCTAGGATGATATTAGTATCTCTATATCAATGACACTCATTTCTAATCCCAGTGTCTTCAGCGGTAATTGTTTTCATTTTTCATGGAAGACGTTGCACAAAGAGTGAAATTCAAGTTTTCTACTAAACATTCAAAGCTTCACAAACTTGTTGAGTAAATTTACAATATTTAATTGCTGAATGCTGATAATTTTCAATAGTAGTTATCTTAGTATCTGAAGTTTTTGAAATCATTTTGCAAAGTTTCATTGTGAAAACTGAGAAGTACTGGACAAGAATACAATTTCTGGTTCTCCATTTTGACTGTTCTCTATGAGATCAATATTGAAAAATTATGCTGCTTCCAAATTTTGATTTATTTCGTTGCAAAATTTGAATATTTGGTTTTGCTGCAGTGGTTTCCGACGTCACATGAGATGAAAGATGAGAGCTATGGCTATGCGTATAATAAGTATCAGTACACGGAACCTCTTCATATTGAAGAAAACTCGACTGAGACAATGTTGCATCAGAGATTAACTTATTATGATTTTGATGAGGAGCAAGGGTATCCTAAGCCAGAACGGGTGATTGCCTGAACTTATAGTTGAATCTTTTGTATCTCTTATTCTGCTGTATAATCTTCATAAAGCCCCTTAAATTTAGCGATGCTATTTTCTCTTATCAAATCTGAAAACAGAACCCAAAGGATCAAGAGGGATCCAGATAAGTAGAAGAGATCTGAAACTCTTAGTGTTCTGAAAATAATGTTGGTTAAATAAACACACTACCTGCTTAAGAAATTAAATTTCAAAGTAAATTGAGGATTCACTCTCATAACTTTTGGAGGTAAAGACTTCTGTGAGCATATAGTTGTCATGTAACCTCTAAAATTTCGTACTTCCTTTCATTTATGCATTTCATTAGGACTGAAATTAAATTAGGTTGCATAATAAGTATAAGAGAGCATGTATAGTTTTGGTGATATCTTTGCTGCAGCCTACATGTAGAGCAGGGATGATTTTCTAATGAACTTCAAGCTTATATTTCTAGGAGAACATTAATTTCTACTACCACTTATTCAGCCTTATCAAGCCAGAGAAAAGAATTACCGCTTTTCCTGGCTGTTTGTTAGGTAAAACTGCTCATCACTTACTTAGACAACATTCATTCAGTTCATCATAAGTAAGTTAACTGACTGAAACCCATTTTACTTTGTCATCAGCCTAAGCCCACTGACCTGACAGTTCCTATCCCCTCATTCTACCCACTTTCTACTCCAAAAAACTGTTTATCGCCATTATAGTGTCAAAAATCCAACAAGAGCTTGTGGGAAGAAACCCTTCAAAGTTCCTTCTGCTCACGACTCTAATCCTTGATGAAGACCCGCTTCGAACCTCCACTGCCTTTGGCAACTATGACGGCTCTGCACTTCTCAAACTTATGTTCCATCTTAAACCCTCTAAGGATAAGAGGAAATAATAAAGGAGGAGGAAAAATAAAATGGGTTATTTTCTTTCGTCAACCTGACACAAAATGCATTAGGAGTCTAATGGGGAAATTTCCTTAGAGGTAGTTAATTGTTGCTTTCCAGAACCAAGATTTAACATACTGTCAATAGGTGATTTGTTTTGAAATAGTTGTCAATTGTTAGCCCTAGAGACAACTTCAGTCATTTTCTTTCTGTTGCTTCGGTAACTACTGTAATCTGTTTGGTTTTATCGTAGCGATACATGGAATACCAATGTTTCAGCAATGAGACAACTGAACATACTGAAAATTCAGCTAAAATTTTTAAGATTTTGGGAGGCACACATGCTGCCGTGCATCTAGTTTAAATATTAGCTGCAATATAATTTGTACTATTTCTGTTTCAAAATTCAGACATTTTTTGAGTAACTTGTGACATTTAAATTATTAAACTGTAAATAATATTTATCCTGATGCAGAATAGTCATTCAAATTCATTTATTGTTAACCCTAGTTACTGAAATTTCTATAATTATATTGGCAGGTATTCACTTTGATGTGAGACTGAAGAGTTAACTATCTTATGGGATTGATATTGTGGAAAACTTGCCTATTTCAAATTATGATCTATTTTGTTGTAAAATTTGAAAACTTTGTTTTTCTGCAGTGGTTTTCATCCTATGATGCGACAAAGGACCAGAGCTGCAGCTATGATTATAACAAGTATAATAACTACATGGAGCCTCTTCACATTGAAGAAAACTTTATGGACCCGATGTTGCATCAGAGATTGACATATCATGATACTGAGGAGCATACGTATCCCAAGGTTGAATGAGTGAATACCTGACCTTATATTTTGAACTATTTGTTTCTCTTATTCATTAGTGTAAATTATGTAAAAAATCATCAGATATTTAGTGTATCAGTTTCTAAAATCAAATCTGTGGACATTGAGTCAGATTCAAATATTAGGAAAATGAAAGAAGTTTTATTTGTAGCTGTTAGAATTAATATAAAACTATGATCCTTGATCCTTATCATAACTTTGGAGTTTTGGTGTAATGGTTAGGGGAACTAAATTTAAGATGGTATCAGAGCAACCCAGGTTCAAATTCCACCGACCATGAATTAAATGCAGGTTTTGTAAAAATTGACACCGCTACGTGAGTCAATGTTTCAACCCATAAAAAAGGACACTCAACCTGCTGGTGTAATGGTTAGGGGAACTAAATTTAATATAAAATTATGATCCTTAATCCTCACCATAAAAAAGGACGCTCAACCGACCACGAATTAATATAAAACTATGATCCTTGATTCTCACCCATAAAAAAGGCACTCAACCGGCTACGAATTAATATAAAACTATGATCCTTGATTCTCACCATAACTTCGGAGTTTTGGTGTAATGGTTAGGGGAACTAAATTTAAGAGTAGTAAGATTGCAATTCTGAAATTCTTAGATTTTAGAAAATGGTGTAAGTTGATAACTAAATCTTTAAGATTGCTAGTTAAAATTTTCAAATCTTGGACTAGATTAAGGAGGACATTCTTTTCATAAGCTTTGAGAGGGAGAACTTTATGAAAGGACTTCTGCTAGCTGCCACCTTATGATTGTTATATCACCATTTTTCACTTGTTTTATTGATGACTAGTTCACAAATCACGATGACTCCATCCTTGAGTACCCACATCCTCTTCCCACCTTTTTCCGTGTTGAAAGGGTGGTTATGTTACTAATGTAAGTCAGAAAGAAGTTTCAGATGTCCTTTACAATGTATTGCATTTCTATTTAATTTTAAGGTTATGTTGATATCAGGAAAACCTCTGTGTGTGTGGGAATATGGTGGTTGGCATAAATTTGACTTAAAGAAAAACTCTTACTGTTTCCTTCTTCTTTTCTAGTTCTCCTCCCTTCTCTCATGCTGGGTCCATCCCTTACATGGTTTAACCTCTTCTCCAATTGACAACAGTAGTAACTATGTACTATTTTTTGAATTTCTCTCATCCATTCTACATCTTCCTATCCCCTTTAATTTATACCTAAGATTAGGATCAAATAGGAGATTAAAGTAGAATGTGAGATGAATACGATATGAAGATGATTGTACGTAAGAATACTACTCTTTTGAGTGTTAGTATACAACTTGTACTGCTTCCTTTTGGTGCTGTTGTATATCGTGGAAATAGTTTAATAGAAGCTTGAAGCCTAATGATGGTGCATGAATCAAGAGTCAAGAAGCAAGAGATCATCAACTCTGCAACTTAAGAATACATATTCAACGTCACTGGTGAAGAATAACCAAATCTTCTACTCATGGATTAAAGACAACTAGAAACAAAAGACACGTCATAAAGAGTAAATTTCCTGTTAAGGTTAGGTCAGAGTCAGCTTAGTGGTCAAACCCTAACCTAACCCTTCCCGGTTTTAAGTGAGGTTAGCTTCAAACAGTCTAAGCCGAATCAAAGTACTCAACTTCAGCCAATGAGAAGGATGGGTTAGTCCGTTTTGGGTTGCCAATTCAAGTTGCGCCCTAGTCGACTATAATGGCTTCTCCCTTCTGTTGGTCCATCGGAAAACCAATGAGGAAAAGATAGAAAAGGGAGGGAAGTTAAAGTTCTTTTTCCCCCTTTCTGTCATCTTAACTCGAAGTGTAAATGTGGCAGTTAATGCCTGTTAGGGAAGAATCTTTGTAATTAAGGGAAGACGAAAACATCTGACCTGAAACATAAGGATCTTTTGTAGCTAGTCCAATCTTCTAAATGCTTTTGGTTGTCTTTTGTTTCTTTGTACATGCTTTTCTGTAGAAAGTAGGGCTACACATTGTACCCATAAAAAAACCATTACCATAGAGTATGCTGCTTGTGTATGTTAATTCGAAGAATTATATTGCAAATTAAACTCCCAATGGTACCACATACTCATGTTTTTTTTCCACAGACGTGTGCTCAATTATGTAGTTGTACACATCTTGTGTTGCTAATAAATATTGCTAATAAATATTGATAACTTCTTCTCTATTCTATGTTTTGCATGTAGCAATCTTCCTATAGTGAGTTTGGGGAGAACAATTTCCATGTGGATCATCAGTATTCATGTGAAAGGCCCACCAATGAACAGCCCCTTTCTTTTGAACTTGAACCATACAAGCCAACTTGGTCCCAGAATCTAAATCATCAGGAATATTATGGCGGGGAATTGTCGCTCCAGTCTTTTGTGAGTATTAACCCTTACATGCATGTATTTGCATATAATTTTCTCATCAGTTTTGGTTTAGACTTTAGACTTATACAGAGCTTTTTGTTTGGTTTGTCTGGAAGATGCTTTCATGCTCTCTTATTTTGTAGAGTGTTTTGGCATTTCTGTGCCTTAAAAGTTCTTGATGGTTACCTGTCAGTTTGTCACATTTGTTATATATATTAGAAATATACTCATTATCTCACTATCAGTCTGATGAATGTAAACAGACTTTCATAAGTTTTTATTCATTCATGTTGTAAATCAATAACATTGCAAGAAGCGTACTTTTGTTCGTTGTGATAAGCGTTTCTCCTTGTCTTCTAAGCTAATACATTGCAAAAGGCTTTCTCTCTGTAAATATTATAAGCAGAGATTTGGAGAGAAAAGAGTTATGAGATCAAGGCCTCATACTCTGGTTTATATATAGTTTGAAAATAGATACAAGT